TAAATTAAATATGTTCATTATTAGATTAAATTGTTATTTATTGATAAATCTAGAAATTAAACTACTACAAAATTAAAGATTTAATCCTAATGAACACTAAAACAAATATGAATAGGAGCTAAACTAATATGCTTGAAATTGAGAAAAGCGTGAATGCTATATAAGTAATCATTTTATGAAATGCTACTTACCATAAATATTAATTTAACACTAATCAGAAAAGGAACAATATTTTGTAGAAATTCAAAGATTGATGTTCATTACATGAGACGAAATTGCTGAAACAAATACTTGAACTAGGTAGGCTACTAGAATGATGATAAACAACCTAAATCTATTGAGAATTATGCTGAAATTCAAAATCAGTAAACTAAAGTGAGCAATTGTAGAGAAATTGGAAGTCTAAAAATTTGTGAGGTTCTGTGTAGGGTTAGTCGTGTGTTGAATAATTGAAAATTTCTCTTTTGTTCTCTTTTTCTTCGGCTGCAAACCTCCCACTTTCTACAGTTATGCAAATTGTGGACGATTTCATGAAGAAGTGGGACATCTCAGTAGTTGGAGTTAGATTGTTTTTAAGATTTCATCACTTGTCCTATTATTTAATAATCCACTTGCATAGCTGAAACCACCTGTTTCCCCAAAAATCTTTAGCCGATTTTTACTACGTGAGTTTGGTTATTAAACGCACCACTTATTTTGTTTAAAAACAAGAAAATTGGATTTTCCAGACGACTCCTCCTTTTTAACGGTTGACCTCTGATAAGATTGCTGGAAAGAACGTTTGTGAAATGAATTGCGTCCCAGACGATGTTGTAAAACAGAGGGTAGAGTTCTGCAAAATGAGTTACTAATTGCCTTGGAAACTTTCAAGGACTTCACAACTAAACAAGTGTAATAAAAGTTACAAATTCTAAAATAAATGTAATATCCTAAGGCAATTAAATTAATATGAAGTAAATAACAGAAAATAATATGCCATAAAGATTAAATTCGCAAACAATAGAAAAAGTAAAATAACAGACAATGATTTTAATTACGCAATCCATAATGATTAAACTAATTACTGGTAGAATTAAAATAATAATAACTAAACAACTTGATTGTTAAATTTATAAGAAATAACTATAAATTAATTGAAGTTTAGATCTGGAAACTAAAATTAAGTGAACTGAATGTCTGGATATTGTGTAGAGACAAAAGAACAAAGGTAGAAAACGTTCAACCTATTTACATGAACGAATAACATAACTAAATTCATTTAAGGAAGAAGAACTAACTGACTCAAAAGAACAGATCTGTTTTGAAGGTTAAGTTGCTTCTAAATGCTTAAAAATTAATCTAAATTGGGATTTGCGGAAGAAAATATGAACAAAGATGAACAAACCTAGGCTACGGTTATGAATAAGAGTAGATTTTACAAACTAATTTGGAAAATTTGAAAACTATTGTTGAAATTTGGAAATGCAATCTGAAAATTGAAAAACATGCTCTAGGCAGTGTATGTGTGTTGGGTCAGCCTCTCAATTGTTCTCTTCTCTCTGTTTTTGTTCTCTTCGGTTTGGGAACTTCTTCCATGATTTTCGGTACTGTTCCTCCATGATTTTTGGTACTGTTCTTCCATGATCTGGTAGTGGGGTTGCATGTCTGGCAATTGTTTGACAGTTATCCAATAATTTTATTTAATCTTATCTTTAATAACTTTAAAGATAACTACTTAAAAACTCTCAATTTTTCATTTTAAATCAAACTCAAACTATCAGATCTTATTTTATCTTCTGTCACCTAAGATCCATCCTCTTTTTAAAATCTGTCTGGACCATTAAATTGTAAGCCAGCCAAGCTCAAATCCAAGCTATTGATTTTCTTGATAATTGGGTTTTACCTTGACACGTGGCTTTACTCTATTGGTTTATTTTAGGTGTAAACAATGCTCCAAACACTTTGTTTTATGGAATAAATCCAAGTGTTTAAATTCTGAACTCACCTCCAAAGACTCCTAAAGCCACGTGCCTAATTAATTTAAATCCTAACCTTTTTATACTCCTTTCTTGAAAATTTGCAGATTTCCTTATCATATCTCAGTCTCCTTTTCATTTAAATATATTTATATACTCCATTGACTCACCCTTTTTTTTTTTTAATGATAAAACAGACATCAACTCCTACTACTATTGATGATGCCATGGAAGACGAAATCTTTGCCAAGTTTGAGAAATTGATAAGTCTTCCCATGTCAAGAGAATCACGCCTTACAGGGAAAGGAAAATCAGTGATTGAGAGTACTGGCTCAGACTCACCAATACCTAGCCCAGAACAGATCAGCATTGCTATCCAGACCTTAGAAGGGCTTGTTAGTGGAGATCCAACAAACTTCTATCACCTTTCAGATCAGTCAACCATTATCAACGCCGCTAAAATCCTAAGTCACTCGCCAGATTTATCTGTAACTCAGAAGAAATTCTGGACTAACTTCCCTTTTATATTCACGGATTTTTGTAGGCGCTTTGCAGTCAAATCAGATGTTATAGGGAAAGCTGAGTCTGCCCGTAAAACTGTGGAGGATGAGACTGTAATTTTGGTCAACAAGAAGGCAAAGTGTTTATCCATAAAGCATGATCATGAGGCTCAAACTAAATGCATCCAGACCACCCAAGGTGAAATCCAGCATCTTGAGTCAGAGTTATCCAGGCTCCATGAGCAACTTTCTTTCCAAGAAGAATGTGCAAATACCTTATCTGATCAAAGGACTCAAGCATTTGCTGAACTCAATTCTCACATTGATCATGTCGTCACTTTACAGCAGACTCTGGAGAGTTTGACAGACTCTGTCGACCAAGCTAAAGAGGAGCTCATTCTCATGAGGATGGAATGGAGTAATTGGCACAGTCATTTCCCTTAAGCCTATTGCACATCCTTTTCACTGTTTGGATCATTTCTGATTTTGCAGCCTATGGCTATAGGCCACATTATGAACTTACTTTTGAACTTGTTGATATTCTCTCTTCTTGAAAAATAATTGTAGCAAGCTCTTTCATTTTGTCTCGATTTAATTTTGTTTGATCATTGCTTATCCTCACAGCCAAACAAGGCTGCTTGATCCATCTTGTTCTTATTTTGGAATAAATACATGAAAGTAAATCAAATTATTTATGCACAGACAGAAACATGAACATGGCTCAAACCATTCTTAAGGATTCTAAGCCTCTTGCCTCCCAGACTGTGGAATAATAAGGCTTGAGATAAATTTCATTGATTTTTCTAGCATGAAGATCTCCATCAAGTGACTCTAACCAATAAGCTCCTTCTCTCAACACTTCATGAATTCGGAATGGTCCTTCCCAATTTGGGGACCATTTCCTAAATCTGTGATCTTTCTTACCAAAAGGTAAAATTGCTTTCCAGACCAAGTTACCAACTGCCAGAGTTTTACCTTTTACTCTCTTGTTGTAAGACTTTGCAATTTTGAGTTTTTGAGCTTGCAATCTATCCAAAGCTATCAAACGTTTGTCTTCAAGGTCCTCAAGCTCAAGCATTATGGCCTCATCATATTCTCTAAACTGGAGATTATGCTGAATCACTACTTTTAAAGACCTGGCTGTTAACTCCATTGGCAAGACTGTGTCATGGCCATATGTCAAGGCAAAATGTGTCATTTTAGTTGAACTTCTTTGTGAAGTTCTATAAGCCCACAGTGTTTTGGACAATAGTTCATGCCAACGTTTGGGGTTGTCATCCACCATTTTTTCAAGCAAATTAATCACCACTTTATTAGAAGCCTCCGCTTGCCCATTAGCTTGTGCATAATGAGGAGTAGAATTTAACAGACGGAAATCCATTTCCTTTGCAAATGCCTCAACTTGATGGCTGACAAAAACTGTGCCTTGGTCTGTTATAATTGTTTCTGGTAGACCAAATTTGTGAATAATGTTCTCTTTGATGAACATGATTACATCATATTGATCTACCTTCTTCATTGGTTTAGCCTCCACCCATTTGGTAAAATAATCCGTTGCCATTATAATAAATGAATGACCTTTTGATGAAGGGGGTACACCTTACCAATCAAGTCAATAGCCCAACTTCGGAATGGCCACGATTTCACAATAGAATTAAGTTCAGATGCTGGAACTCTTTGAAGTGGCCCATGGACCTGACAAGATTTGCAGCCCTTATCATAAGCAATACAATCTTTCAAGACAGATGGCCAGAAGACACCATGTTTGCAAATCAACCAACGCATCTTGATCCCAGCTTGGTGTGCACCACAAATCCCATCATGGACATCAGACAACATCTGGAAACTTTCATCTGGACCTAGACAACGCAGCAGTAGTTTATCATGGCCTCTCCTATAAAGCACGTCCTCAATCAAGACATAATTGAGAGCTTGCATTTTGGTTTTCCTAGAGACCTTAGTGCTTTGATCCTTAAGGTACTAAATAATTGGAAAGCGCCAGTCTGTTTGGGTGACATCAATGCTGCAAGTAGAAACTGTCATGCCACGTTGATGAATTGATGGCAGACTACGTTTTTCAACTGTTACAACTTTCTGCATTACACCTTCAGGAATTCGCAGACCTGAAGCAATTTGGGCCATTTCATTAGCTTCATAGTTCTGGTTTCTAGGCACGTGTTTGATGGACATATCATCAAACTCTTCCAGTAATTGCACAGCCAAGGCAAAATAAGGGGCTAAAGCAAGGCTAATACATTTATACTCACTAGACAATTGCTTCAAGACTAGTTGTGAGTCCCTTATAACCTCAACTATGGATACTTTAAGCTCTACCAACATCTCAAGACCAATAATCAAAGCCTCATATTTTGCGTGATTATTTGTGCAATCGAAATCCAACTGGAAAGACATCTGTGTTTTTAGCCCAAACGGGGAGATAACCACGACTCCAGCTCCAGACATGGTTTCTGTACTAGATCCATAAAAAATAAGTTTCCAAGGAACTAAACTTATTGAAAACAAGTTAATCCCTTTTTCTTCATCTGCTTCTACTTGCAGACATGGATGATCTGCAAGAAAGTCTGTCAGTGCCTGCCCTTTGACAACTTTCTGTGGTATATTCTTCAAATTAAATTTAAATAAGGCCAGAATCCATTTACCTATTCGGCCTCTCAATAAAGGGCGAGACAATATATATTTGACAATATCAGTCTTAGCAACCACATAAACCTCGAAATAAATCAAATAATATCTTAATTTTATTGCAGCAAAAAAGAGAGTAAGACACAACTTTTCAACCGAAGAATATTTCACTTCGATCTGGGTTAAACATCGACTCAAGTAATACACAGTTTGCTCTTGTTTTTTATTATTTTCCTGCGCCAATAGACATCCTATGGACTCGTCTGCGGCGGATATATACAAAATTAAAGGTTTGTTTTTCACAGGCGGTGCAAGTACTGGTGGTCTGGATAAGTACCGTTTTATCATATCAAAGGCAGACTGGTGATGTTCTTCCCACTTAAAATCCGCCTCAGACTTGAGTTTCAACAGAGGAGAAAAGACTTTGGTTTCCCCAGCCAAGTTAGAAATGGAACGTCTTAAGAAATTAACTTGGCCAAGAAATCTTTGCAACTCCTTTTTGTTTTGTGGTGGTTTTGCCTCAATCACAGCGCTGACTTTGTTCTTGTCAACCTCCAGACCACGCTCATGCACCAAGTACCCAAGGAAGTTACCTGCAGACACTCCAGAGGCACACTTTAGTGGGTTCATTTTCAAGCCATGTTGCCTCATCCGCTCAAAAGCCTTCCTCAAATGGACCAAGTGGTCTTCTTCCCCATGTGACTTCACCACAACATCATCAATATAGATTTCCATGAACTTACCAATCATATCATGAAAAATTGCATTCATGCCTCTTTGATAGGTAGCTTCAGCATTCTTCAGACCAAATGACATCACAACCCATTCAAAAGTTCCAACAACACCTGGGCATCGAAAGGTTGTCTTTGGAACATTTGTGTCTGCAATAAAAATTTGGTTGTACCCACTATGGCCATCCATGAAGGATAAAATTTTATGATGGGCTACTCCATCAACCAGCAAGTTTGCAATTGGCATAGGATACTCATCCTTTGGTGTGGCTAAGTTCAAGTTTCAAAAATTAACACAGACTCTTAATTTTTCATTCTTTTTTAGCACAGGCACTACATTTGACAACCATTCTGCATACTTGCATGTCCGAATGAATCCAGCTTTTACCAGCCGCTCAATTTCTTCTTTCACTTTCAAGGTGACCTCTGCATACATGCGTCTGGGCGGTTGTTTATACGGTCTGAATCCTTCTGCAATTGGCAATTTATGTTCCACCAATTTTCGATCTAGACCTGGCATTTCTGAGTAATCCCAAGCAAAACAGTCTTTAAATTCATGCAAAAGTCTGACAATTTGATCTCGTGTCTGCGGCTCAAGAGAGCCACTGATAAATGTTACCTTTGGTTCACTTTCAAACCCTAGATTGATCTCCTCCAGTGGGTCTTGAACTTCATCTTTTAAATCATCCAACTTGGTTGGGGCAAGATCCAGCTCCTCCAAAGTTATTTCATCACCCTGGTCTACCCCTCGCCTTCATGAACAATTTCAGACCTGCCTACCTGAACTACTTTTTCAGCAAAATAGGTCGCTAATTTCTTTGTTATCTCCAACATTGCCTTTTCTGTTTCTTGTCTTAGACGATCTTGCTTCATTAGATTTGTTCAATTTTTAGTTTCCCCTTCGGCCTATAAGGAATGTTGTTGTTGGCCGAAGAAGTTCATCACAGACTTCCTCTACAACACGCTTAGACAATAACGGTTTGCTGAATGCTGTTATCCCAATCCGCTTCCCATGTCTATCCATCCCAAAAAACCGAATGGTACCAATGTCTTCTTCATAATATCTAGCCTCCACCAAGTGGGTATTGGCTGAAAAATGCTTATCATCTGTAGACACCACCTCAGCTTTGCCACCATTCCAGAAAATCAGTTTATGGTGAAGTGTAGAAGGGACACACCAACTTGAATGAATCCAGTCACGTCCCAAAAGTGAGTTATAAGTAGCAACAGTATCCACCACGAAAAACGCAGACATCAGTGTCTTATTTTCCACTGTTAATTCAACAGGCAACACACCCTTTGAACGATTTACCCCTCTTATAAAATAACTAATTGTAACCTCAGTATGTGCTAAATCATCAAGAGACTTGCCTATTTTGTAGAGCATGCAAGTTGGAAGGACATTGACTGTAGCTCCATTGTCCACCAAGGCACGGTTGATTGGAGTCCCATCCATGTGAGCATTGATATAAAGTGGCCTAATGTGTCTGGCCATCTTTTCTTTTGGTTTTTCAAACACAATTTTGTCAGCCATGTCTTCCTCTTCATTATTCTTGGCTGGAAGTCTGGAACAATGATTGCCTCTTTTTCTGTCTGTTCTGGGAACTCACAGACGATTGGTTCCTCCTCCTTCTTGGCTTGGAAAACCAAGGGTAATGTCAACACCAGACATGACAAATTCACTGAGAATTCCCCAAAATGAATAATGCCATCTTTTTTTGATTCAGCTCCACGATTCCCAGACTGTTCTTGTGCTTCAAAAGTTGCTTTCAAAACTCCATCTTGACTCACAATGACATATGCCACCTTTGGAGAGGCTGGAGATTGGTCATCCCCCTTTAGTAGAGTCTGGGTTACAGTCTCATTTTTCTCTTTTCTCACCCACACCATGTTCCTTTTGGTAGGTTGGCGTGGTCTGCGAGATGAACTTCCCTTAGCCTCCACCTGCTTCTGTTGCCTTTTTCGCTTTTCAGCCCTTTTGCGTTGCAGTCTGCGCCTCAAGGTTCTAGGATTCTGGGCTGGAAACTTTGGATGACTGACTTTCTCCCATCATTTGAACGGTGACCTAAGTGGTGGTTTGACCATTTTTGGAGATCTAGTACCAGTTGAGTGACGTCTGGCACCTTTTGGGATGAAGTTCCTGGTCAAAATGATCCTTCCTTGCCCCCCGAGCCTCTACTGATCTGACCTGACGCTACTGCTATGTCTGGACCTTTGCGCCTCAATGACCCACCTCAAGTCTTCAGCAGCAAGGTTCCTTTGAGCATAAGGTAGACTACGATTTCTAGCAACACTCCTCAGGTCTACAACATTCACGCCAACAGACATAGTTGGAAAAGGATCTGCATCTACTCCCATGGTTTCCTTCACTTTGTCTGGAAATTTCAAGATACCCTTATCAATATTTTCTTGTAAGACATTACGAAAAATAAGACAATTATTAGTATAATGCTTCCAAGAATTATGAAATTTACAATAATCTCTAGCTTCGATTTCAGCCGCTGTCGGGATTTTATGTCCCAATGGCAGCTTAATCAGACCACTCTTTTAAGATGGTCGAATATATCACTAGCTTTTGACACATCAAAAGTATACTGTTTTCCAACCTCACCAACATAACGTCTCAGGCTGATAAGTTGGTCTGATAAGGTTTGGACTAGGGATGTCAACGAGGCCCCATGGGGTCGGAGAGTCCCTCCTCGTCCTCGTCCTCGTCCTCGTCCCTGCGAATGCGGGGACGGGGATCCCTACGGGGATTTTTAACGAGGAGTAAATTTTGCCCCCCATCCTCGTTCCCCGCGGGGATCCTCATTCCTCACCAATTAATACAAAAAATAAATTTTTTACATATAATTAATATTCAATTATAATAAATAAAAATTTAAAAATTCAAGTATAATTAATTAAAATTCTTTAAATATAAATTATTCAAACATAAATAAAGATCAATCTAATATAAATAACTAAAAGGTTAATAATAGATTGGATAAAATTGGATCAAATTTAAATTTTATTGAATTGGATTTAAGTTTGAAGGTTGAATTAAATTTAAAATAAAACTAATTTATATAGTTTTTTAATTTTTCGCAGGGATGGGGATCCCCACGGGGTGGGGAAAATTCCCTGCGAATTTTCACGGGGAGAAAATACTCCCCGTCCCCATGGCAGGGATCCCCACGGGGCCCCATGGGGATCGGGACAAATTGTCATCCTTAGTTTGGACAAACAATAGGCTTGTCTGTAACCACCTCAGCCACATTAAGATCAAAATTAGGGTCATTGTAATAGGTTCCATGTGATGCAGCTTTCTTTTGAACATATTTTTTCAGTAGATTTTCATACTGAGCCACTTTATAAGACAATTCATAAAAGTTTCGAAATTCCATCCCCTCAAATTTCTTTTGAAGCTCAATGTCTAGACCATTCTGAGTCAGCTTGACAAATTCCTGTTTTGGTAGTGCAACTCGACATTTCAGTCTGGCTCTCCGGAACTTAGCAAGGAATGCCTCAGACGACTCTCCAGGCTTTTGGGCTAACCTCGACAAGTCTGCCATAGACACTTCTGGTTCACAACGATAAAATTGAGTATGAAACAAGTCCTCCATTTGCCTCCAAGAGTAGACTGAATTTTGAGACAGACTGAGGTACTAAGTAAGGGCTGTCCCAGTCAAAGGGCTAGGGAACAATCTGAGTTTCAAGTTATCATCTCTGGAAGCCTCTCCACACTGTATTGTGAAGCGTCCAATATGTTCAATGGTGGACTGACCAACCTCACCAGAAAATAAAGTGAACTCAGGCACTTTAAAACCCCTTGGAAAAGGATTTTCATGATCAATGACATCTGGATAAGGCTTCCTGTAGGCTGGAAGTACCAATGGTCTCGAGGTTGGTCCATAGGTTTCTTATACCAAATCTATTAGTTGATCTCCATTGAACAATTGAGCTAGTTGATTCTGCAGACTGCGCTGTACTGGCTGGGTTGGAGGAACTTGTGGCTGGAAAAAGTTCCTTGGGTAGGGTTGATGATGAGGACCCACATTTCCCATCCTACCTGGTGAAATATACCTATGTTGAGGTTGATGGCCATGGTCTGCAACAGGAGCAGGGAGCAGCAACTTCCATTGGTTCATGCTATCTTTGTCCTTCACCCATGAAGAAATTCTGCTATTGAATGTTAGGATGAGGCTGATTCCCTTGCCCCCTGAGTGTTGGGATTGGGGCTTCCTGACTCTGTTTGGGCATTTCAACGACTGGAGGAGGGATTTCAGGTCTAGGCTGTCGCACTTGCTCAACCACTTGTTCTGAAACAACCTGCAGTGTTCTGCAACTTTCTTCCGCAGTTTCTCACATCACCCTAGTGCCTTCTTCAAAAACCCGTCTCAGGTCTTCCATACATTGTCTAATTGTCTCTTCCTGTCGTCTGGAGGATTTTGCTTGACTCTCAACAAGTCTCCGCATAGCTTAGTTCTGTTCTTTGAATGATAACTCCAGACGTTTAGTCATACCTCTAAACACATTACTTGATTCAGCAAAGTCACCCCCACGGTCTGCTTCTTTCTCCTTAAATACTAGATTCCCATAGGACTGTTCTGCCAGAGGTGACATTGGGAGAAAAGTGATGGGATCATTTTCACCCTCAGAGTGGAGTGGACTGTCATCTACATGCTCAGCTTGGGCTGGCTAAACCTCTTTATCTTTGCTCTTTCTAGGTGGCATGGCTCTAGACGCCTCTATATGTATAAATAGAGGATCTATAAACTTTAACTGATACACCTTGCTGGTGGTCCCACCAGGCGTGCCAACAAAGGATTGTTTCCCCAAAAATCCTTAGCCGACCTTTACCACGTGAGTTTGGTTATTAGGCGTGCCATTTGCTTTGTTTAAAAACAAGAAAACTGGATTTTCTAGACGACCATTCTCCTTTCCAGCGGTCGACCTCCAATAGGATGGTTGGAAAGAACATCTGTGAAATAAATTGCACCCCAGACGATGTTGCAAAACAGAGGGTAGAGTTCTACAAAATGGGTTACTAATTGCCTTGGAAACCTCCAAGGACTTCACAACCAAACAAGTGTAATATAAGCTACAAATCCTAAAATAAATGCAATATCCTAAGATAATTAAACTAACATTAAGTAAATAACAGAAAATAACATGCCATAAAGATTAAATTCGCAGACAACAGAAAAAGTAAAATAACAGACAATAATTTCAACTACGCAACCCATAATGATTAAACTAATTACTGGCAGAATTAAAATAACAATAACTAAACAACTTGATTGTTAAAACTACAAGAAATAACTACAAATTAATTGAAGTCTAGAACTGTAAACTAAAATTAAGTGAGCTGAATGTCTGGATATTGTGCAGAGACAAAAGAACAAAGGTAGAAAATGTTCAACCTATTTACATGAAGGAATAACATAACTAAATCCATAAAATGAAGAAGAACTAACCGAATCAAAAGGGCAGACCTGTTTTAAGGCTAAGTTGCTTCCAAATGCTTAAAAATTAATCTAAATTGGAATTTGCGGAAGAAAATATGAACAAAGTTGAACAAACCTAGGCTAAGGCTATGAACAAAAGTAGATCTTGCAGACTAATCTGGAAAATCTGGAAACTATTGCTAAAATCTAGAAAATGTAGTCTGAAAGCTGAAAAACATGCTCTAGGCAGTGTATGTGTGTTGGACCAGCCTCTCAATTGTTCTCTTCTCTCTGTTTTTGTTCTCTTCAGTGCTGGGAACTTCCTCCATGATTTTCGGTACTGTTCCTCCATGATCTAGTAGTGAGGTTGTATGTCTGGCAATTGTTTGACAGTTATCCAATAATTTTATTTAACCTTATCTCCAACAACCTTAAAGATAAGGTTTAAGTACCATTTTGGTCCATTAACTTTTCACTTTGTTATTAAAATTGTTCTTTACTTTTAAAAAGTACTAAAATTATCCTCAAATTTTCATTTTCGGTACCAAAATGATCATTCTGTCAGTTAAATGACAGGTGGCTCATTAAAATGCCACAAAATCATTAGACTTTTTGAATCTTAATGACGTGTAAATCCAGCTAAGAAAATTTTTTATACACATGGCATATTTTTTTACACATCATATTTTCACTTTTTAACTTTCCCTTTTAATGGGGCCAATGTGACTTTTTTTAACTTTTCTTATTCTTTCTCTCCTCTCTTTTCTCTTCTTCTTCCTCTCCGTATTTGGGTTTGATCAAACCTAGATCTGGGTTCTTTCAACCCAATAAGAACAATCGATGGCAATGGTTAAATGTTTTCGTTTCCCACAACGCGCCTTTTCACTACTCATTCTCAAGGAGTCGCCTGTGGATTCTCCGGGAATAAACCTGTAATTGCACCAAACCCGAAGTCCTTCTTCAATCCGCAACTGCACTTCGGAATGACCTGCAAAGCCCCGAGGTGGAACTCGGGGTAGACACTCCGATGCTTAAGTCAGCAATAATCGGGGCTACCTTTAGGGCGGAGATAAGAAAAGCTTAAGGTTGGTTTCAATTACCTTTTTGACGTGGCCTAGGGGGGTATTTATAGGATTCACTGAGGAACCCACGTGGCATGCCAAGCAAGATAATCGGAACCTGACGTGTCCACCCAGACGGTATTTCCGGGACCGGGAATTTGAGAGGTATCCAGGTACACGAGCGTCCATCATACTTGCTGTGCCACTCATCGTAAGGAATCAGGTGCGGACATGCTCATTGTCCTTATCATGCAGCCACTTGAACGGGAAGTTCTGGATTTATTCCTCACTTCGGTCATAAAGAAATTACTGTAACAGTCCGAGGCTTGGCACCTCGGACCTATCCTTACAAAACCACAACGCCGCCAGTAGCTCCTTTCCACTACATCGGAGTCGTTCGGCAATTCGTTGCTTGTGCCTCTCTTCACTACTAGATCTCGAGAAGTCGGCTGTGGATACTTGTCGAATAAACCATTGCTTGTGCCTTTCTTCAACGGACGAAATGCTGGTTCGAGGTCGTGTGAGTGGCGTTCCACCAAGGATCTCTCAGATCGATGTCAATGATGGTCTTGGTGATGGTCGCTGCTTGATGCCAATGGATTATTGCCAATGTGATGAAACCCAGATCTGGGTTTGAGATTGCCAGTTGAAGATTTACAGTTTTTGAGATTGCTGTCTTTGTTACACAACAAATTTTATAGTTCTTAGAATTGATTCGTTATTCTTATGGTACAATTCTTATTCTCCTACTAGTAATCTTGGGGTTTGATTCGCTTGAATGTTCTATGCTGCTTTGTGTTCTACCTAAATTTCAGCTAATGATTGAGTTGCTCAATTATTTAATTGAATTATAACATGTTTATTTCGTTGTTAATTTGGTTGCGTTTTAATTGTATCTTGGAGAAAAGTAGATCGGTCAAGGTATTGTTGGCTTAGGATGGTGGAGGTGACTGCCTTTGCATTTGCTGCTGTAAACTTGGGTTATAAAAATGTTGGTTCTCCGTCACGGTGGATTTTATATGGGAAACTGTTTCTTTCATTTGGATTATCATTTTGTGTAGAAAATGAACACACGACATGACTGAGAAAAACCCAGATTTAGGTTTGAGAGAGGAAAGGAGAAGAAAGAGATAAAGAAAGAATAAGAAGAAGAAAGAAGAAAGATGAGCAGGGAGTAGGAAAGGAGGAAGAAGATAAAGTTTGAGAGAGAAACCCAAATCCCAAATCTGGGTTCGCAAAGGTAAGAGAAAACGAAAGGTAAGGTATTGTTTGGATTGGAGGTGTCGGACGGAAAGGGAGGGGAAGGGATGGGGACGGATGGCAAGGGAGGGGGAGTGAGGGGGAGCTATCTCCTTCCTCCTGTTTGGGTTTTCAAAGAGGCAGAGGGGGAGGGAGATGGACTGATTCGGACTCCCTCCAACCCCCCTCGAATCTGCAGATTTGCAATCCGTTCAATTTGGGGGGTTTGGGAGGGATTTGAGTGGCTGTTTACATTAAACTAAATGTAATTACAAAATTAACCTTAATTTTTTTATTATATC